AATTTTATATCGAAAAAGTGGAAAATCGAAAAACTGGAAATCGAAAAACTCAAGAATCGAAAAATTGAAACAATGAAAAACTAAAATTCGAAAAACTTCTAAAACCAAAAAATTAATGAATCGATAAACTCGAAGAAGAAAAAAGAATTGAATCGAAATCTTGGAAAACCCAAAGATTATAAAATCCTCAAACTTGTGAAGTCGAAAAACTGTAGATAACATTGAAAGGTCAAAAAACTGAAAAAGTAAATATTAAGAAATCGAAAAATCGAATAAATGAAAAATTTTTAAAGTCAAATAATTGGAAAATGCAAAAATTCCAATATCGTAAAATTTGAAAAATATATTGTTTTAAATTATAATTATTATTACATATTTAAAATTAAAACTAGAAAAATTGCAAATTCCAATTTGAAGAAACGAAAAATTGAAAAATCAAGAAAATGAAAAAGCGAAAATTTAAAAAAATTAAGAAAATAAAATTACAAATCGAAAAATTGAAAACAAGAAAAACTGAAAAATTAAAAAAATTAAAAATGAAAACTCGTAGAGTTGCATGTCATAAAATTGAGGAAACAAAAAAATTAAAAATTGAAGAATTAGAAAAACGAAAAATTGAAAAATCAAACAATGAAAAAATTTTAAAACCCTGTAAGTGAAACAGAAAAATTGTAAACCCATAAAATTTGAAAAATGAAAAATTTTTAAATTATTATGAATATTACATATTTAAATGTGAAAATTAGAAAAATTGCGAATCAAAAATTGAAGAAACAGTTTCCGAATTTAAAATTTTTTACTTTCGAATTTGTTTAGTTCTCGATTGTGTGATTTCTGGGTATTTGATTTTAGGAAATTTGGATTTTTCAATTTTTCCATTCTTCAGTTTCTAGGCTTTTCAATATTTTAGTTTCCGAATTTTTTATTGGATTTTTTTTACCTTTTGATCCTTCGATTTTTCGAATTTTCCATGTTTCGATATACGAAGTTCAATTTTTACTTTTCACGAATACGAATTTTCAATTTTTGATCTTTCGATTACACGATTGTTCAGTTTTCCGGTTTTCCAATTTTTTCGATTCTTTGTTTTAGGGTTTTCAATTTTTCGAATTCTCGAATTTCGAATTTTCGAATGTTGATTTTTCCATTTTCGGTCTAGTATTTTTTCAATTGTACAATTTTTCGATATTTCCATTTTTCGACTCTTCGATTTCCCGATTTTCAATTTTTCAAATTTTCAATATTTCAATTTTACACGATTCCTCCATTTTCGTTTTTCGAATTTTTGATTTTAGATTTTTTTTTCGATATACGAAGTTCAATTTTTACTTTTCACGAATACGAATTTTCAATTTTTGATCTTTCGATTACACGATTGTTCAGTTTTCCGGTTTTCCAATTTTTTCGATTCTTTGTTTTAGGGTTTTCAATTTTTCGAATTCTCGAATTTCGAATTTTCGAATGTTGATTTTTCCATTTTCGGTCTAGTATTTTTTCAATTGTACAATTTTTCGATATTTCCATTTTTCGACTCTTCGATTTCCCGATTTTCAATTTTTCAAATTTTCAATATTTCAATTTTACACGATTCTTCCATTTTCGTTTTTCGAATTTTTGATTTTAGATTTGTCGATTTTGAATTTTTCGGTTTTTCGGTTTTTGAGTTTTCGATTTTCCATTTTACGATTTTCGAGTTGTCGAATGTTCACAATTCTTCGAAAAAGAAATTTTTTTAACTTATTATTATTACTACACAAAACTAGAAAAATTGCAAATCAAAAATTGAAAAAACGGAAACATGGAAAATCAAAAAAGCGAAAATCGAAAAATTGAAAAAATACTGAAAATAAAAAACCGAAACGAAAAACTGCAAATCGAAAATTGGAGGAACTTAAAAATTAAAGAATCGAAGAAGTGAAAAATCCAAAATAGTAAAATGAGAAATTTTGATCGAAAAAGTGGAAAATCGAAAAATTGGAAATAGAGGAACTCAATATGAAAAATTGAAACTCTGAAAAACTAAAATTCGAAAAACTTAAAAATCGAAAAAATGAATGAATCGAAAAACTCGACCAAGTAAAAATTGAATCGAAAATTTCAAAAAACAAAAAAATGTAAAGTTGAAAAATTATAAGATCGCCAAATTTTTAAAGTCGAAAAACTGAAAAACTAAATACCGAGATATCGAAAAATTTAAAATTCGACAATGGAAAAATCGAATAAATGAAAAAGTTTTAAAATCTAATACCTATTTGAAAATGGAAAAATTTTAAAAATTATAATTATTGTTACATACATATTTAAAACGAAAACTAGAAAAATTACAAATAAAAATTTGAAGAAACGAAAAATTGAAAAATGAAGGATATAAAAACCGAAACGACAAATTGCAAATCAAAATTTGAAGCAATGAAAAAAAATGTTAAAATCCAATAAGTCAAAAATGGAAAAATTGTAGACCCATAAAATTGAAAAAATATATATTTATTTTTTAACTCTAATTACGAGTTTTTAAACCATATTTAATCGAAAAATCGGAAACCGGAAAATTGCGAAACAAAAAACTGAAAAACCCAAAAATTAAAAGCGAAAAATTATAAAATCAGGATATTGAAAAACCGAAAAATTGAGAAAATACTGAAAATAAAAAAATTGCAAATCCAAAAATTGGAGAAAAAAAATTGAAAGAATAATCAAAATATAAAATCGGAACATTGAAAAATCGAAAAAATGTAAAAATGACGAAAATAAAAAACCAAAACGAAAACTGCAAATCCAAAATTTGAACAACTGAAAAATTAAAGAATCGAAGAACTGATAAATTCAAAATGGAAAACTCGAGAAATTTTTTATCAAAAAAAAGGAAAATCGAAAAATTGAAAATCGAAGAACTCAAGAAGCGAAAAACTGAAAACGGAAAAACTAAAATTAGAAGAAAACCCAAAATTGTAAAATGGAAAAATTGAAAAATCGTCGAACTTGTAAAGTCGAAAAATTGAAAATGTAAATATCCAGAAATTGAAAAATTAAAATTCGAAAAGTGGAAAAATCGAATAAACGAAAAAGTTTTAAAATCCATTAAACGAGAAATGGAAAAATTCCAAAACCGTAAAATTGAAAAAGTGAAAAATTTTAAAACTTATAATAAATTGTTATTACATAGTTAAAATGAAAACTAGAAAAATTGCAAATCAAAATTGGCAGAAACGAAAAATTGAAAAATCGAGAAACTGAAAAATCTAATATTCAAAAAACGAATAAAAATTAAAAAATCCAAAAGTAAAAAAAAAGAAAAACTACAAAGTCAATAATTTTACATGGAAATAAAGGCAAATTATAAAATCAGAGCACTGAAAATTCGAAAAATTAAAAAAATAAAGAAAATAAAAAACCGAAATGAAAAATTGAAACCATGAAATATCGAAAAGAAAAATTTAAAAATGAAACCTTGTAAGGTCGAAATTATCATGACATTGAAGAAAGAAAAAAAATAAAAATTAAAAAAATTCACATCGAAAAAGAGAAAAATTATCAAATTAAAACATTGAAAAGCCAAAAATTCTAAAAATAAAGAAAATAAGTTACAGAAACGACGAAAAACTGTAAATCAAAATTGAAGAAAAGAAAAAAATTAAACTGAAAAACAAAAATTCGAAGAAATTAATGAATGAATCGAAAAACCCGAAGAAGAAAAAAGAATTGAATCGAAAACTCGGAAAAGCCAAAAATTGTAAAATCGAAAAATTGAAAAATCGTCGAACTTGTAAAGTTGAAAAAACTGAAAAAGTAAATATAGAGAAATTGAAAAATTAATGATGAAATAAATGAAAAAATCCATTAAATGAAAAATGGAAAAATTCCAAAATCGTAAAATTGAAAAAGTGAAAAATTTTAAAACTTATAGATTGTTATTATATATATTTAAAATGAAAACTAGACAAATTGCAAATCAAAATTTGAAGAAACGAAAAATTGAAAAATCGAAAAACTGAAAAATCTCATATTAAAAAAACGAAAAATTAAAAAATTTCTTTGTCAAAAAATCGCAAAATTGACAATTCCAAAAAGTGAAAAATTTCAAATTGAAACAAAGAAAAATTATAGAATCAGAACACTGAAAAACGAAAATTAAAAAAAATAAAGTTGCAGATCTAAAAATTGAAAACGTGAAGAAAATAAAAACCTAAACCACAAACTACAAATAAAAAATTGAAGAAATGAAAAACTGAAGAATCGAGAAATTAAAAAGTCAAACAAATGAAAAAATTTAAAATCCAATAACTGAAAAATGGAAAAATTCTCTTAAGAAATTGAAAGAACAAACAAATATAAAATCGGAACCTTTGAAAAATCGAAAAAATGTAAAAATGATGAAAATAAAAAAACAAAAGGAAGAATTGCAAATCGGAAATTTGATGAATTGGAAAATTGAAGAATCGAAGAAATGAAAAATTCAAAATTGAAGAAAAAAAATCACAAAAAATTGTTATAATTTTCCAAATAACCTTCGACCAATTTTTTTATCTCAGTTTTTGGATTCCGTTTTAAAACAACAGACCAATACACTGTAGAAATTTAATAGTTATGCAACCAATATTACAGCGCACAATTCGATCATTTTCCTTTTGACACCAGACCAAAAAATTTGTATTTAATATCATTTTCTCGTATATGTAATAAAGTATTACGATGTTGCGGTTAAAAACTAACTTTCAAATTAAACACCTTCAGACGGCGTCAAAGCAAGTCTTCAATAATTTAGGGGAATGCGTAATCATCTGCCGCCAGACTGGTGGGACATCCTGTATAAATTATTCTTAATAAGCCTGTGGCCTTTGCAACTCCCTGTTCTAGGTCTATTAATATTTAAGATGTCGTCTACGAGAATGATAATTCTCCCGAGAGTGTTTATCACCAATTATCATAAAGTGGAACTTTGTCACTTGGCAGTTGAGGGTAATAATCACAACTTTTTTCAACTATTCATTTACTAACATATTTTAACAAATACATGGTATGCACTCCCAGCTTGTATACGCATCCCCTATTAGTTTCTCAAACTCTCCCATTTCTCCCTTTACACTCATCCTTTTGTTGCACGTTTGACCTGTCATTTCCATTTTCTTTCGTATTGCTTTAATTTTATTTGACTTTTCTTGGGCTGTCTTTGCGATCCCTGCTGCCATTTCTTTCGCCAACTCTTTTTCCTCTTCCATTTTCCTTTCTTTGTTTCTGTCTACGATAAAAATGGGTCGCTAAAACAACAAGTTTAGTCAAAGTAGACGTAATTTCCGGTAATAACATCATACTTCCATTTGAACAGTGTCCGGAATGCCACAATTGACCAACTTGAATGTTAACGCAGAGACATAAGTTTTCCTCTGAGTTGCCAATTTTTCTAGAAATTTTTCAAAAGTATCGTAATCGAATCTCTCTAAACTAGAAAATTTTGGTTAAGTGTGTCGTTCCACAAATCATTTAAACGTACTTGAACGTTTTGTAGACCTCTTCCATGTCTTCGGGAGTAATTCTCACGCAAAAAATTCTTGCTTGATTGAACCACCTTTTGAGCTGATAAAATGATATAGTTTTGTGTAGTCGCGAAAAAAGGATAAATTGCTGCTTTAACGTTCTATAATAATTATACATTGTCGAAAATCACTGAAAATTTTGACGTTCCAAATAACCTATTCAAAAATAAATTTGACTTGATGCTAAGCGCCTTGATCGTTAAAAGCAAGCCGCCTTCTCTTTTTGGTTTAAATTTGAAAGCACGGTCGATCATTTTCCACTTCCGAGTTGCAGCGTAAAACTCAATTTTTGTGGAAGAGGAAACTTAGATGATGCCCCAGGCTTGAATGAGTATAATTTATAAGTTCATAAAATAACAAACTCGCTTAAGGTAATGCAAGAAAAATACCGCGAGATTTTCTTATTAATCCTATTGTGTTATTTCAATGGCAAACGAGAAAAGAAAATGGAAAACTTCACGCAATTTTTGCATTAGGCGGAGGAATTCCTGCGATTGTGGGAATAAGAAAACGCTCCCTTTTTCTCGACAATGCCGGCTGATGTATTTCCACGAACGTTTCCGGGAGAGAAAAATCTCTTTGTATTGTTTTCGTGTATTTGCCATCGACGGACAATTTCAGTCTTCATATTTTCCATTAAAGGCTTACATAAACACTGTTCTGCAAGGATGCGGAAGTCGCCCACGGCTTAGTTTGGCTTACCGCAGACAGGACAAAAGGTTTGCTTTTAATAAAGTGTCTACAAACATAAGCCCTAATGAAACTTTGCTTTTAGGGCTGTAGATATAGTACATGCAAGGTACATTGAAATTAGCCAAGTTTCAACAAGTTCGAGGAATTTATGCGAATTTACATTGTCAAAAACCTAACGCGGACGAACCCACGAAAATGGAAAATCAAATCTGAAGTATGGTTACGGACAAACAAGGCGGCGTTAAACACGCAAGGTAAAGCTGGAATTAAATTTTAAACATTTAGCCGGCGATTGAATTGTGCCTACTGCAATCGAATAATTTTTTCAAATATAATATAACAAGTGGTCTGATTTTTTCCGACAAAATTTGTGACACAAATTACCGAGTAGCTGTTGCGACGAAAATCACACGAGTCGACGAAGGAGACGAGTGTGATTTTCCAAAAGCAACAGCTACGAGTTAATTTTCACACAAATTTTGCAGAAAAAATCAGACCACGAGTTATATTCGGCTTGACAATCCAAAGAGAAAATTTTTATTTACTTTTTACGGACAATAATTCACATAATTTATAGTTAGCGTAGTAGTTGAGTAAGCATACCTACCTAGTCTAAATAGTAACAAAATAACAAGGCAAAACGTAAATAAATTTCTAAACATCAAATTTTGTGTGTGCTGCTGGTTGATTTTCTTAATTATGGGAGTAAGATTTGATAACAAGACTGTGTTTGAAATTCGAAATGCAGTGAAAGAAAGTCAGTGCCGAAACACTGCAAGAACGCACGATTCAATTTGGAAGCAGTTTACAGAATTTTGTGAAATACGCAAGTTTTCTCTAAATAAAGCAGTTAAAATGAACGAGGTGGTCAGTATTTTGGAAGATCATGCCTTTAACGCCAACAGAAAAGTAATTTGTATTATTGTTTTTTTTTTATTAAAGTTCATTTGACAAGTTTGACAAATTAATTTGACATAATTTATTTCGCTGAAAAACAGTGTTGTTGCCTGACAGAAGAATGTTTTTTCACTGAAAAAATTTTTCGGTGAATGCCATTGGACAAATTTCAAACAATTCTGCCATTGTATTGGTTAAGAATTTTCGAGTTGGATTGTCAATAAAAAAATGACTACCCATTTTAACTCATATTTTATATACAGCTTGTTTGTGAAGGTTTAAAAAAAATCACAAATATTTTCAGATTAGGGTAAGCAATGGAAATATTTTTCATTTTTTTGATTACACCTTACCCATAATCCATTTTGACACTGATATTGGTAAAGTTTACCGGTTCAATCAAAGAAATGAAAAATATTTCCATAGCCTATGCTAATCTAAAAATTTTTTGATCACCCGTTAGATGCAGAAACAGAAAGGAATGGCAGACCTATTTATTCAAATCCTAGGAGCTATGAAACGTCGAGAAAACATGAAATTAGTCATTCGTCAAAAGAAAATGATAATTCTCAGTTACTTTGGTAATACATTTTTATTTTTTAGAATTTTTTATATATGTTTGTTGTACAAGACGTTTAAAAATTTAGACTAACGCAATTTTGTTAGTTAAATAAAAAAAATTACATAGTTTTCGTGAAATTCTGTGAAAACAGTTTTTGTTATTTGCAGAATTAAATTTTATAGTGGATCTAAGACACTAAGTAACGTTACTGTAATATTTAAACTTCATTATTAAAAAAAAACATTTAAATAAGTCCCTAAAGTTGAATTTGCAATTATTATTATTATTATTTTTTAAAGAAAATGACTTTTTATATAAAGAAAAATATTGGTGGAATAAAATACAAATTTTGGTGCTAATTTTTCGACTTTTGATTTTTTAAATATTTCATTAATCGATATCTCGATTTTTCAAATTTTCGATTTTCGATTTTCCGTAATTTACTCTTTCGATTTTCGATTTTTCCATTCCTCAATAATTTTATTTTTATCTTTCGATTTTACAATCTTTCAATTTTTCGATTTTTCGAGTGTTCGATTTTCAATTTTCCGGTTTCCGATTATTAGAATAATTAATTGATTCACCAAATTTTCCCATGTTGATTATTCGATTTTCAGTTTTCCATTTTTTCAATTTTACAATTTTCCGATTTCTGATTTTTTGATTTTTGACTTTTTAAATATTTGATTCATCGATTTTTCGCTTTTAAATATTTCGAATTTTCGATTTCCGATTTTCAGTAAATTGCTCTTTCGATTTTCGCTGTTTCCAATTTTCGACTCTTCGATCTTTCGAATTTTCGATAATCGATTTTCCGATTTTTGTACTTTCGATATTCGAAGCTTAACATTTTTTACTTTTGGGTCTTTTCATTTTCCAATTTTTCAATTTCTTGATATACAAATGTTCAATTTTTGTACTTTTTGATCTTTCGATTTCATGATTTTTCAGTTTTTCGATTTTGCAATATTTTTATTTTCAAATTTTCAAATTTTTTTTTCGTGTTGCGATTTTTCAAATTTTGAATTTTTGATTTTTCGCTTTTCGATTTCTTAAGTTCCGATTTTTGAAATATTTGATTTATTGATTTTTCCATTGTCGGTTTTTCGATTTTCGGATTTCCAATTTTTCAATTTTTTGATTTTTCGATTTTTCAACTTTCAGTTTTTACAATTTTCGAATTGCGGATTCGATTTTTTCAATTTTCGATATTCAATTTTCCGATTTTCGATCTTTCGATATTCGAGGTTTAAAATTTTTTACTTTTCGATTTTTACATTTCTCAATTTTTCGATTCCACGATCTTGCATTTTTTCGATTTTCCGATTTCACGATTTTTGAATTTTGGTTTTTCGATTTTTCGATTTTCAGTTTTCGGCTTAACTTTCCGAATATTTGATTCATCAAATTTTCCAACGTCGATTCTCCGACTCTCCGATTTTCAATTTTTCAAATTTTCGAATTCCAATTTTTTGGCTTCCGATTTTTCAAATTTTGAATTTTTGATATTTCGATTTTCGACTTTTTAAGTTGCGATTCTTCGAATACACATTTGACTCACTGAATTTTCCATTATTGTTTTTTCGGTCTCATTTTTCATTTTTTTTTATTTTCCGATTATTCGAACTTCAATTTGTAAATTTTTCGATTTTTTGGTATTCCTGTTTCAAATTTTTGAAAAAACCAAAATCGAAAATTTTCAGTTTTTGATTTTTAGATGTTTATATTTTCAATTTTTTAATCGTTCGAGTTTTCGATTTTTTTATTTTTCGTTTTCTTTAGTATTCGATTTTGTGATTTTTCAGTATATTTGATTTTACGAAATTTGGATTTTTAATTTTTCTATTCTTCGGTTTCTAAGCTTTTCAATTTTTTTGTTTCGATTTTACTATTTTAATTTCTTTCACTTTTTGATACCTTGATTTTTCTAAATTCGATATTCGATTTTCCGATTTTCGGTCTTTTCGATTTAAAATTTTTACTTTTCGATTTTTCCATTTCTCATTTTTCCAATTTTTGATATACGAATTTTCAATTCTTGTAATTTTTGATCTTTCGATTTCACAATTTTTCAGTTTTTTGATTTTTTTCGATTTGCCGAATTTTTTTATTCGATTTTGGATTTTCAATTTTTCGAATTTAGAATTTTCGATTATTCGACATTTTGATTTTTCATTTTTCGGGTTTCGACACCAAATTTTCCAGTGTTGATTTTTCGATCTTCGGTTTTTCATTTTTTCAATTTTACGATTTTTTGATTCTTCGATTTCCCGATTTTCAATTCTTCAAATTTTCAATATTTCAATTTTACACCATACTTCCATTTTCGTTTTTCGAATTTTTGATTTTAGATTTGTCGATTTTCAATTTTTATCCTTTTTTCGGTTTTTTGAGTTTCGACTTTCGATTTTACCATTTTCGAGTTTTAGAATGTTCGATTTTTGCTATTTCGATTTCACAATTCTTCGATTTTCGATTTCTCGAATTTTTGATTGTTCGATTGTCGACTTTTCGAAATCGCTATTCTCGAGTTTTCGATTTTTCGGTTTTTAGGTTTATCGTTTTTCGAGTTTTCGAACATTTGACTTTTGATGTGTCGATATTCCGATGTTTCGATTTTTTGATGTTCGATTTTTAGAATTTCGGATTTTCGATTTTTCGAATTCTCGATTTTTCGATTTTCGGATTTTTAGATTTTCAATATTCCGATTTTTCGATTTGCGATTTTTCAAATTTTGAATTTTTGATTTTTCGTATTTCGATTTTTTAAGTTGCGATTTTTGGAATAATTGATTCATCTAATTTTCCATTGTCGATTTTTAGAATTTCGGTTTCTCATTCCAATTTTTTGATTTTTGGACTTTCAATTTTTCCAATTTTTTATTTTTCGATGTTGTTATATTTCGAATTTTCGAAAAATCGAAAATCAAAATTTTTGAGTTTTAGATTTTTCGATGTTTTTTTTTTAGACTTTCGGATTTTCGATATTCCGATTTTTCGATTTGCGATTTTTCAAA